TATATATATATTAGTAAGTGTATGGGTGTCTTTTTTGGGTGCGGTAAAAGGAATGTAGGTGCGGTGTTTAGTAAATCAGTAATTAAATCATTTAAATTAAAAAAACAATTTATATTTTTAATTTAATTTAAAGAGAACCAAAGCAAAAGAAATTAAGAAAACAATAAAGAGAAATTGAATTGCTTTTCAAGAAGCGTTTGTTTAACGTTACTAGCTTAACGAAACCTATGTCGAAATCAATCGGGATAAAAAAAAAAATTGACGATCGTGCCATGTCTTCGTATTTTTCAAAAGCGGCAGCTCAGGAAGAGTGGGATGAAGGTGGACACAGTGGTTCCGGGTGGCTGTGTTCTTGTGGAATTGAGCATGGACACCAATGATGACCAATAAGTGGATTAGAGTCTTTCGCATTAAGGCTCTACAGTTGACCTCCAAAAATACAAGCATGTCTGTGGCGCATGTCGAGCTAAACCTGGCCTTCTCAATAGTGCAAGATAACAGCTCAAATGTGAAATTCGCCAATTTGGGCTCAAGAACATCTTCCAATGGAATATCACTCTTGTCATGTGGGAGCGCATCTTCCTCTTCTTCAGTCTCGTCTATGTGTATCGAATTAGATGTTCGGGCACCAAGCGAGAGAAAGAAAACATTAATGATAGGCTCATGGACTCGTGTCTCAATAGAGTCAAGGCGTGCTATTATGGTCTCCAATTGAGCTCTCAATTGAGCACATCCTTGCTCAATCTCCTCAGCTCGGGTTGCTTGGGCTGTCACACAAGCATGATGAGGTTAAGTTTTTCACTAAAAGATAAAATGTCCTCCTGAGGCTCACTCTCATATATAGAAATACTTTGCACGAGGGGCTCGGTGGAGGAATTATAAATTCGATCTACTATAGGTCGAATGCGCTCCGCCAGGTTTTTCAATCTGACCTCAATATCTTCCCTTCAAGCTGTTTGGGATGTCAGAATAGCAAGAATTTTGTCAAGCTTTTCATTGTACTCTGCGGAATCCTCACGAGACTCCTACGACTGCTCAACCGGTACTGGATCCCACTATTGGCTCGTAAGGGCATAAAAATGTTTGGACATAGTACCTAGGCTCGTAGTTCGACCCATTATTTTAATAGTGTGAGTATGAGGAGAACGAGTGGTACGGGTTCATTGAGCTCCTTGGTTAACATCCCTTACACATAAGAACAAAAAAAATAAAATAAAATAAAAAATACACGAAGCCACTGAAACCAAGAGAAAATCTAAAATAAAGAGAAAAATAAAAGACACAAGGAAAATAACACAGGCACAAGAGAAAAATAAAGTTAAACAAAAGAAAATAACATCAACACAACAAATAAATATCCTACTTTTCCTACCCGACAACGGCGCTGAATTTGTTGTAGAAAATTGTATTTTTACAGAGTACGGGACAAATCTCAACCTTGGGTCGATCTCTCGAGAAAGGCGGTTCGGAATCTAGAATTGATGTCGATCAAACATGATAAGAAAATAAGTCATAAACAATTCAATCACCGAAGGAATGGTTAAATTATCTAAAGACTACTAAATAATTGAAAACAAAAAAACAACAATAAAATCACTTGAGAAGTAGAAGGAGTTCTAAGGGTCGAGAATATCGCTTGAAGACTTAAATCTATGTCAAACGTATTAGTGTTCGGTTTAAAGGCTGAGGCTCTCACCTAAACGTCTAATGGTTCGCTCATACGTAGAAACCTAGATGTCTGCCCCTGATTCTTTTACGAACACGGATTCAGACATAAACAAATGCATAGTTCAGTCAATGAACCCATAAGCGATAAAATTACAAACACGTCTACCCTATTCGAACTATAGTCGAATACCCTATCTCCTTCCGGATTCTAGGTTATCTACCTAGACTAGATGGTGATCAATCAGCTAATAATTTTAATCAAGAAATTCAAACAAGAATAAACATCATACATTCAACACAAATTCAAAACGAGAATCGAAGCCTCTAACCTAAGTGGATGAATTAGCTCATGCTTGGATTCAGTTTCATATTAAATCAAACAAAAGAAATTTTTATTCAATGAACTATAGTAAACAAGAATTAAAAACTTACAATCACCAAATGCAAGAATTCAATCCCAATCCAAAAGTCTCAAAGAATCCAAGCATAGTTAAAGATAAAAATGGAGAAATACAAGTGATTGTTTGGTTTTTTTTGGGAGCCTCTTTTCAAGGTCTCCCGACTGTTTTCCGTGTTCCCAAAAGATGTTTTTATTAAGTATGGAATGAGACTCTCTTTCTATGGATTTAAAACAGGGCCAAAATTTCAAGTTTCAAAATCTTGATCGCGACCTTCGCGGGCCCAGACCCTCCGCGGGTCACGACGTGAGAATGTACTGAACCTCAATTATGTCCGCAGCCTGCCCACAAATCGCAGAGCATGGGAAAACCTCAAGCGAGCCGTCTGGGAGAGCATCACACGAGAATGCGCACGGGCGTTTAGCCTCGCCGACCGGGCATGCAGCTGGGCAATGGGGCACGTGGACGCGCTCGCGGGTGTGAAGCTAGGCTAAACCTAAGCGTGCGCACGCGAGGTTGCTGGGCGAGCTATGAGCCACGGCGAGAGTGCATGGGCCGTTGACCAACTGAGAACTTTCTGGCGAGTTTCTCTGTACATATCTAACGACGTCAAGTATACTTGGAGCACATTTTCTTACGTAATAAAAAATATAAAAGGGTACATAAAATGCACAAAATACTAAAACGACAGGAAAATATGTAAACGAGTAAAATCAACCTAATAGACCATAAAACTATAAAAAGAGCTGAAAAGAGCACACATAAATACCAACAAAAACCATACACAACAGAAAAGAAAATTTCATCGATTCCGCTTTCTCTTTATTCTTTTATTCTAATTATTTCGATTTTCTTAATTTGTTATTGAATTACGACATAAAGATCAATCGAAAAATATATAATATCATTTCTAATGAAGATTTCCATAATCTTTAATAATGTAGCTTTTTATGATATTGATTTCAAACTTTATTTAATGTTTACTATAATTAAATTGTCTATGTTTGTTACGTGAAAAATCATACACTCAATTCGGTTCGTTAACTATGTGAATAATATGCAAAATATTTTCTTCGGATATACAATTCATGATATGGATCAATGAAAAAAATGGCAGATAGTGCTAAATTATACAGCTTCTGATTTTGATGTGTGATTCTTAAATTTGCGAACATATTATGCATAATCGTTAATTATACGACGTTATAGATTTGGATATCTGAGTCATAAACTATGCGAACATTTATCGCATAATCATAAAATATGCGACATTTGATTTGGATATTTGATTCTTAAATAGGCGAAAGGTTATCGCTTATGATAAATTAAGCGGTGGATTTGGATATGCGAGACCGTACTGATAGGGGATAACGGTAACTGGTTGACTAGAGTGGGAAAACAATTGAACCGAACTGGATTATACATCAGGCCGAATGGATAATGAAGAGCATATTGGTCAAAGGTTGAAGAGGTCGAAGAACTAAAAACATAGAAGGTAAGTTCAGGTCGAAGTAGGGCCCTGGGAGGGCCTGAGAGAAGTTCGAGCTGAAAGAACATCTGGTCGAGGAATTGACTAGGTGAAGGTAGTACTGGAGCTCAACATCGATGGAATGACACCTCGAGTGAGTTGTATAATTAAACCACCTAATATGGAGGACTAAGGAATAAGAAGGAATCTTAAGGTAATTAGACCCCCACATGGATAAAATCACGTGGCACCACATGATTGGTCCACACCTCATAACCGTATCTGACGGCCCGGATAGCTCTGACAATTGAGGTAACTTACACGCTTGCTATCGGAGAGCTCACGCGCCAGACTTGGCCACAAGGTATCATCTCCCCATATAAGGGAAAGAGGTATGCCTTTAATCACATTACATTATATATTATACATATTATACATATATCTCTCTCTGTATTTCATCTTCTACAAATACTCATTTAAGCGTCGGAGGCTCTTCACCGGATACCCCCTCCGGCGTGAGAATTCTGCAAGTTCGAAGACGTTCAACCGGCGGTTAGATCGAGCTTCAGACGTTTCTAGCCTTTACCAACCGGTCGGAGGTCGTTTGATACCACGTACCATATGTGGTGGATTTGGATATGCGGAACGTAAATTATGCGAAAGCATTTCGCATAATATAAAATATGCAACGTTCGATTTGGATATGTGATTCTTGAATATGCAAAACGTTATCACATATGGTAAATTGTGCGGCGGGATTTAGATATGCGAGTCGAAAACTATGCGAAAATATGTCGGATAATATAAAATATGTGACGTTGGATTTGGATATGTGATTCGTGAATATATAAAAAGTTCTCGCATATGGTAAATTATGGGATGGATTTGGATATGCGAGTCGTAAACTATGCGAAAATATTTCGCATAACATTAACTATGCAATGTTCGATTTAGATATGCGATAAAGAATATGCGAAAAGTTATCGCATATGGGAAATTATGCAGTGGATTTGGATATGCGATTTGTAAACTATACGACAATATGTCGCATAATCATAAAATATACAATGTTCAATTTGGATATGCGATTACATAATATGCGTAAGTGTTTCGCATATTTGTTAATTATGCGTCCGATTTGGATATGCAAGACGTAGGCTATCAATTTGGATATGCGATAACTATATATATGCAAAATAAATTCGCATAAAAAATTTTTGTAGTGAATTTGGATATGCGATTAAAAATATGCGAATGTATTTCGTATTATTGCTAACTATGCGTCTGATTAGATATGCGTTAGTATAAGTACAACAATATCTCGCATAATTGTTAATTATGTGGTACATTTGGATATGCGATTTTCATATCACATATAGTTTCGTGAGTTGTGGGGTAAAAAAGAAATTTTTTGATGGGACGATGTATAAAAAAAAATGCATGTATATATTGAGGTGTAAAATAAATTGTCCCTATAATTATTACAGTGACATAATTATAGTTTTTTAGTAATAAGACATATAATTTTACTATTATGAATCTATATATATATATATATAGGGTCACGCTCCGGTGAGAATGGTGCTTAGTGAAAGAAATAAGAATAAATCGTAGCCATTAGATCGGATGATCTAGTGGCTAAAAAAAAGTCAAAATTATACCTTCATTAAGGACAATGTGGTAATTGACAACACTCAAAACCTGTGGGACCCACGCACACCACATCCCCAACTGCCCTGCCACGTGACACACACCCCTCTGTCTTCTCTCATTAAATTTGTCTTCTCTTCATTAAATATATGTTCTCTCTCATTGACTAATTCATATTCTCTCACACACACATCACACATACACAACACCACCCCGTCGCACACATTCCGTCACACACACACAGTCACGCACACGTCCGCCGGCACGTCTGACAGACGGACCACCACGACGGCGCTGTCGCCCAGAATCCCGCTGGAACTGCGCCTGACCGACGTCCGCCGTATCCCGCCCGCTGCCGGAAGTGGTGAACTCCGGTACGTCGCCGTTCATCTCGCCGTCGCCCATAATCCCGCCGGCACCGCGACGGATCGACGTCCGCAACCGCACGTCCACCGTATGCCGCCCTGCTGCCGGAAGTGGTGAGCTCCGGTACGCCGCCGTTCATCTCGCCGTCGCCCCGAATCCCGCCGGAACCGCGCCTGACCGGCGTCTGGAACCGCACGTCAGCCGTTTTCTGTCACGCTGCCGGAAGTGGTGACCGTCAAGGACGTGCCTGGAACATATAAAAAGACCTGCAAGTGTTTTTTAGGTGTAGTTGAATTCTTGGATGTAGGGATTATTTTTTGAGAATTTGATAACTTACAAGGACCTATGTGCAATTGCGAGAAATTTAATTAATTTCAATTGAGTACATGTGCCAAATCTATAATTTATAAAAAGTTTATAAAAGGTGATAAATAATTAAAAAATATTAAAGTATAAANGTTTTTTACTTTTAAAATTTTGATTATTACAGTTCAATGACAACTTTATTAATTTTATAAATAACCACTCGACTGCATTAAAAGAAATATTATTTTATTATATATATTATGAATTTTCAACAAAAAATGTATAAATTATTAAATAAAAATATTCAAATACTAAATATATTTTTATAATATAAATTATAAATTGTTTTATTTAGTTAGTTTACTTCGGTTAACCGAACGAATAAATCGGTTATTTCGGTTCTGCTTTAGGTTGAGACAACTCAATAAAAAAATAATTGCACTTCGAGTGCACATTTGTGTTAGATGGATTGCACAATAGTGACTATCAGGTTGCACTATAGCGACTAAAACTGACCGATTGTGTATTTTGGATCCGAATATTATATCTTGGTTCGTTTATCTATTTATACTTTATTTATTTATTTATTTTGATTAGTTCGGTTTGACGACAGTTTTATTTTCTTTTTAAACAAACAAACCGATCGAAATATAAAAACAAAAATAAAATTTATTTATTATTTTTATATTTCTTACAACAAAAAAAAAATATAAAAACAACAAATAAAGTATTAAAATACCAAATATATTTTTATAATATAGATTATAATTTGTTTCAATTAATTATGTTAATTCGGTTAACCGGTCAAATAACCCAAATAGTTCGTTCACTTTTAGTTTGTTTTGGGCACAAGATAAAAAGATAATGCATTGCCGGTGCACGAAAGTGTTAGACGGATTGCACGTTAACGAATACTATATTGCACATTAGTGACTAACATATTGCACAATTACATCTGAAATTGATCGAACTAAAATTTTTGTTTAAATTTTATATCTCAGATTGATTATATGTTTTTAACTTTTAAAACGCATATTTACACATAATATTGTGCAATTCACTTATCGAAATTGTGTATTTTATTACTTTTATTTTAAGAGTTCGTACATATATATATATATATATATGACAGTAATTTTAATGTGCTTATAAACACACAATATTGTGCAGTTATTTATTAAATGTTGTTCAGTTTTAAAATTGTAATAAATTACAAATTTTACCGATTAAATTGTCTATTTTCATGCTCGGAAATTATCTTAATGGATTGGCTTTGACCATATTTGACCAAAATTATGTTAATAAAATAATGGGAACCGTGAGACACAGAATGGTCGCGTACAATTCACGTGCGCAAGAATATCTATATATATTAAGTTTCTTAATTTGCGAACAAACCCCTGGAAATTGTCTAATTTACAAAAATTGGACCCCCAATTTCCAGCCAAATTTCCAAAATCGAGATCTGTGCATCTCTTCCTCCAAGAAGATCTACGGTGGGATTTCAAATCGGCGGCGTCTTCGAAACTGTCGTGGCCAGCTTCCTCCCGACATCGGAGATTGAATCTCTCCTTCAATCTCTTCAATGGAAAACTCGACCAGCAATTCTCGCGCTGGCCTGCCACTGCATTTGATGGGAACTCGAATCTGTGCGGAGGCGCTCTTCAAAGTTGCAAAGAAACAAAGTCGCAAAACAATGGGAGGAAATCTGGCCGCAGCGACTCATTTGTGGTGAACAGGTGATCGTATCGACAATATCAACAACTGTTGCAATAATTCTATTGAGATGCGCGGCGAACGGGCGGAGGCGCGTCATACGGGCTGAGGATGCGTGTTGGCCGGACTGGGGAGGCGCGGCGGCGTACCGCCGGATTTCTGGAGAGAGGGAGACTGGAGGGGCGTGGCGGCAGGGCTGCGTAGCCGTGAGTCCGTGACCACCGGATTTCTGGAGAGAGGAAGAGAATGGGGAGGCATCGTCGCCGGGCGACAGTCGGCGCCCGACGGCTGATCTGGTGGTTCGGCCGTGAACGTGAAGGGTGTGTGTGTGCTGTGTGTTTGTGTGTGTGTGTGTGTGTGTTCGTATGTGAAAGTGATGAATGGGGTAGGTGACACGAAGGTAGTTGGGTGGTGGTGGTGGGCCCCACATGCTGATGGGTTGGTAATAAATGTCTAATTTACCCTTAATTTGTGGTCAAATATTAATATTTGACCACGAATTGTACCCATATTTACAACACTGCCATAACATGTTTGACTGCTCTATTTAATATTTGACTATATCATGACCATTGATATGTTGAATCCAATGGTCCACAATCATTCTCATTTCTTTCACTATCTACCATTCTCACATGATCCTAACCCTGCGTCGCGCTCCGGTGAGAATGGTTCTCAATGAAAGAAATAAGAATACACCCTAGCTTTTAGATCCGATAATCCAACGGTAGCAAAAAAAGTCACAAATTATGTACCAATAAGGGTATATTTGACATTATATATTCCATTCACATTAAAAATGGGTCCCACCACTAACATCTCTCTCCTACCACACATTCTCTCTCTTTCCATCGTCCCTCTCACACATCTCTCACTTCTCAATCTCACATCTCCATATCTGCCACCACCAAGCTCCAGGTGCTCCTCCTCCCGCCACCGTCGCCACTCTTCCTCCCCTGCCACCGTCGACACTCTTCCTCCCCTGCCACCGCCTTCGTCGCCACTCTTCACTATGTATAACTACACACACATACACGCACACTGTAAACACGTACACATACTATAAACACACACACACACACACACACAGAGGCTCCGCCTCGCATTTCGTCCTACCTCCACCATGACTTTGCCCACACCGCCGCCGACTTCATTGTCTCTGAAGGATTCCGGCGACCGCAGACTGTGCTCCGATTTCCATGGAAAGGAATTGAATCCACGGTCGAAACTTACCGCCACCGCCCGTTTCCGCCGCCACCGCCCCCGCCACCGCCGGCACACACACACGGCTCGCCGCACACACAGTCGCTGCCCGATTTCAAGAAACGGGACTGAATTAATTTGGATTGTGGGTCTATTGTTTGAGAATTTGACAATTTGAAAGGGTCCAATTGCAAATTTAAGAGTTTTATCAAATTTCAATTTAGTCCTTGGGTATAATTTAATTAATTTAAGTGTTTTATCACCACACACACACAGTTACTTGTATAGCTGCGCATGGTTTGTGTGCATTATATTTGCATAAGGAGTGTATTTTTTTTCCTTTTTTTTTTTAAGGTGTCTGATTATTGGATACTGAAAAAAGAATAGCAACAAGAAATATTGATTTGTTTGTTCCCAATAAAGCTGATGGTATTGCACAGTTTCTTATAAATTGATTTGTTTGTTCTCAATTAAATTATGTAGGTTAATTTTATTTAAACAAATAATTTGATTATAAAACATGTAGTAATGTGCAATGGTATTAAACAAAATGCACATTAGTGATTGTCATACTACACGATAGTGTTAGACCACATGCACTTTTAAGGAAACATCTTGGTATTTGGATAAATTTATGAACAAATTGAACCGACTAATGAACAAGTCTATGTAATTTAGTAAATTATAACGAGCGTTTTTAATAGTTACAAATATTATTAATAATTACAAATATTTTTAATAATTACAGTAGCTCGGCTTATACACTATCGCGTTGCACTTTATAAAACAACACATTGCACTTTACAAAACAATACGTTGCACTTTATAGTTCGAATTATACGTGATTATCACGTTACACTTTATAAAGCAACATATTGCACTTTGTAAAATAATATGTTGCACTTTATCACGATTATCAGATTGCACATTAGAGATCGAATTGATTTGGAGATTTAGAAAAAAAAAATTGATTTGGGGGGTTAAGGTTCATTTATTGTTTTTGTAAATTAGGGAATGTTTAGGGACATATATACAATTTTATAGATTTAAATTGATTTTTAATTTAGATTATGAAAAAATATATGATTTATAACAATTTATAATAAATAAATATTAATAATAAGTAAAATACAGAATACTTAAAAAATTTAATATGTTATAAAGTAGTGCACATTATAAAACAACACGTTGCATTTATACAATAAAGTGTTGCACTGTATAAGACAAGCTACACTTTATCACCGCACTCCAGAATTAACGTCAACAGACACCGCCAAAAATACTACACAACATAAATTTAATTTTAACATCCACCACATCATCTATCGACAAAAAACACAAGCATTATCCACAAAAAACACAAGATAATGTACCAAAATTACAGTAGTGCACTTTATATATCATCACGTTGCACTTTATAATACAACACGTTGCACCTTATAAAATAATACGTTGCACTTTATCACGACTATTAGATAGCACAAAATAGTGAACGAAACCGATCGAACTCAATTTTTTTTCAACAAAAAACAATAAATAAAATTATTAACTTACTAAATGTAATTCTAATATAAATAACAAATTATTTCTCCAACAATAACAATAAATTCAGAACAAACTAAAATTATTTGTTAAAAAATTTATATTTCAGTTCGATTATCCGTCTTTACTTTTAAAATCATTGTTATTTCAGTTCGATGATTGCTTTATTTTTTAAAATAAATAAAATAACCAAACCAATCGAACTATATAAAAAATATTAATATTTTTGTGTTTGTATTTTTTTATGTATTGTCATTGCACATTAGATTTGCACGAATTGCACGTTAATGATTGTCAGATTGCACAATATCGACCCAACTAAATTTGTCAATTCGAAAATTTACATTTCGTTTCAATTATTTGTGTTTATTCTTAAAATTACATTTATTTCATATCGTACTTGTTTTTTAAAATTTCCAAATTCACCAACCAGACAAAATTATACAAAAAGTAACATTATTTTATTTTTTTATATAATATAAAACTAAGTACAAATATTAAAATAATAATTATATTTTTCATTAATTACACATTTAACTCTTGACATGAATTGTAATATATTGAAAGTATATATAATTGCAATCTATTCCCTACAATAAAATAATAATTATGTTTTTTATTAATTACACATTTATCCCATGACTTGAATTGTAATATATTAAAAATTTATATAATTACAATCAAGTCCCTACACCTAATCAAATTCTCAAGAGCCCACCCCAATTACTTAAATCAGACGCGTCCTTTCATAATTTCAATTTGAAATTTGATTTCACAATTCAATTCACCCCAAAGGTTAACAAATTGGAATTGCACATAAATTAATTAGTTCTCTCAATATACTGAATATGATGAGGGTTATGAGATTAATTTTGCTGTTTGAGATTCATCCATCAATTATCATTTTCACGCCCTTGAGGAGGCCGGCGGATGAGACGTTGCCGGTGGCGGAGGAGCGGGTGACAGACGGTGAGGGCTGGAGGTGCGACAGCGTGGGTCGACCGACCGGCGTAAAGCTTGGGCTTTGGCCGACGACGGCCGACTTGGTGACCCAACCTTATTCCGGTGGACGGTGGATGCTCAGGTTGTGATATATACGGACTACGGCGCGCGGATGCGCCGGCGAGGGATGTGGCGGCAGGTGGTGTTGCGGTGGCGGGTTGGTGGCGTGTGTGGTGTGTGTGTTCAAGTATATTCAGAGATATACAAGCGATATTCGGAGACAATACTTGGACTGGTAGATAGATACAAGCGAGAGAGATATACAGAGATGGAAAGAGAGAAACAGTGAGAGAGAGAGAGAGATTTGACCGATAATGGTGTGTGTGGGACCCATTGTCATGTGTGGTAAATGTGTAATGTCCATATTGTCCTTAATTATTGGCCAAATGTGTCCATTTGACCATAATGTATGTTAATTTACTGTATTGCCATTAATGATTGACTAATTTTTGACTTGATCATAACCATTTATATGATAGATCTAGCGGTACCAATTCATTCTTATTTCTTTCACTACCTACCATTGTGTATATATACATATATAAATTCTAGTATAAAATTTAATAAATTCTTTTTGTTTTCCATCTTTTTTCATTACTCATTTGCATTTGTGCATGTATATATGAATACATCATAGGCTCGCAAGCTTTGAAATCCTATATATCATAATATCATGCTTTGTATTTGAGTTCGGATAAAAAAATTGGAAACAAAATTGACTTGGAAAGTGCCATAAATAATTTTTTTCATCATACATTATTGTCTCTCATCAATCTCTTTTTTATTACCAAATTTGTCTTGAATTTAAAGATCACACAGGTCATTATTTCCTTATTTCATTTTACTAATGATTTATCCCGTTCATCATTTTTTTTTTTTTCAACTTGATAAATTTTAGCCTATTTTTTAGTTTGTATAATTGTTTGCGTAATGAATAATGATAAACTAAAATTATATATTATAATCATATGGGCAATATAGTTAATGAAATCTTAACTAAACATGTCCCTGATCGTAATTCTCACCAACTTTAGCCTTTATCTTAATTATCATCCTTTATCTTATTTTTCCTAATAAATTTTAACCCATTCATCATTTTTTTTTTCCAAATTGATAAATTTTAAGTAGAACTAATAATATTGTGCACAAAGAGAGTTTTGAGATTTTGAAATAAAATACCAATGTATATAGTAGTTTTTGTTTTATGAAATTTCATTTATATATTTTGTATATACTCAAAACAACTAAACTCTTTTACTTTTT